ACACGCTTCACGCCTTGTCGTGGTGAGCAGCCGATGGCTGTGTTACCTCTGTGGGGCCGGCGTAGAGCATGGGAGAAGGGAAGATTGCCACGATGGTTGACTTGGGGTCCAGGACTTGCTCCTCCAGCACCGCTGCGTGCTGCTTCATCCGCCACTCCAGCGGGACGTCGTCATCTTTGGTCCACCCGCCCAGGGGGTGGAGGAGAAGCACGGGGTTTTTGTAACCCCTCTCCAAAAGCTGGCGCCGCGTGTCCTGCATGAGCAGGGCGTGCCCGTTGTGGACAGGGTTGCGCAGCTGAAACGCAAAGATGGCATCTAAAAGGGAAAGATTCAGAGGGTCACAGGCTTGTGCTGACCATCAGACTTCATTAGCACACTACATATTTCGTAAGATACATACATTGTAAGATGTGTGTCCTATCTTCACAGGACCGAGGCCTCGAATACCTTAGATGAGTGTTTCATACATGCACAGTGCCTCTTCATCGCTCTGCCAAGTTTATTTTCATTGCACATCCTTCCTTTGGGGATGGTTTCAGTCCTATCAGCTCTCCTACAATGTTCTTAGAGGCCCCTGGACACCTCCACCGAGTTGCCTGACTTCCTAAGTGACCTGCCACCTCTCCAAGCTCAATGGCACCTTCAGGAAGGCCAACGCTCTCTCCCCAAAGTGAGGGTAGGTGTCCAACGCCTGCCAGCCTGCTGGGACAGACACCTGGGAGCAGATACCTAACCTGTCCCCCATGTGTGAAGGCCAAGCCCATCAGCACTGGGCTTTCAATGCCCGGGCTGCGGAACGAGAGGCTCTGACCTGCCACGGAGGACGTGAGCAGGACGCTCGACGCTTTCCAGTCTGGTGCTAAGGGTCACCCATTGAAGATGCAGCCCACCACAAGCACCGTCCTTAACCAAGGAGATCCTGCATCACTTCTTGTGCCGTACCCTGCGTCCCCCTTACTGCTCACCCCACCTGAATAGTCCCATTTTGGGGGCACATAGAAGCAATTTGGCAAGCGCTGCGAGCTTGAGAACAAGTAATCACAGAAATCTCCTGGCGCCAGGTAGGGCAAGAAGACCCGTGTCACCCGTGCTAACCCAGGGCACTCACCAGCGTTCATTTCTCTGAACTTCTGCTTGAGAGCGAGCGGTGTCAGGCGGTACTGGTCCAACCCGTCGTTCCATTTGATCTTCTCCAGCACCAGGAGGTCTCCACCAACCAACCAGTCTCCGCTCTCCATCACCATCTGTGAATTACGCACACGTGCGTGACACAGGGGACAACAAAATATCTCCTTTTCCCTTTCACAGCCGCCTTTGAAAAGTGTTAGGCTTGACTCCGCCTGTAGGGTCATCTTCCCTCCTCATTCAGCACATCGCAGGGGGGGAAATATTCTTACAGCGACCATGGGAACTGAATGTCAGGGGCAGCGCAACCCCGTAAAGCGAGGCATCAGCCGCCGAGTCCCAACCCCTGCACCCAGCTAGGCGCTGGGCTCCTCGCTGGCAGCCGGGGGGGAATCTGCAGGTTACGGCGCAAGACCTTCCTCCGCTTCGCTCTTATTTCCTCCTGGGAATAAGCCGCTTGCAAGGTGAGCCACTGCCGCTGAATAATTCAACGATTTATTTTATGATAAGGGAAAAGAATTAACATGGCTTTAGACTTTTCAAGCGGGACGCTCAAGTCACTTGGTGTAACCTGGAGCTCTCCCTTTCTAAGGGATGATGTTTGTACTGCCAGAGAGGAAGTGGGAAGAGATAAGCTGGAAAAATGTAACGCCCTTGTTGGCTGCCTGTATGAAACAGCCAAATTGAGAAGTAAAACGCAGCTAAAAGGAGCGCAAGACCGCGATCTGCAGCACTAGCGTTTGGTAGCATCACCGAGATCATCACGCTCCCAGCGCAGGAAAACTTTGGGGGCTAAGTTGGTGGTTGTGCTAAAAAAGTTTGGATGTCGGCACACCGGTGACCACGAGTGAATGAAAGGAGCAGCTCCTCAGCAGCACGCTCGTTCTCCCTTTCACCTTGTGCTTGTTACCTCATGCTCTCGCCAAGCGGCGAGCGCAGCGTTAACTCGCGAGCCTAAAAATTTGGTCCTGCCTGCTTGGGATGTGATGGTTCCCAGTGAAGAGCTGGGCTTGGAGAGCAGACAGGACACCCAGCGCCCTCAAAACCTCAGAAAGGTTCGGTTCTCCAGCCCCAGCTCGCATTTCCCATCCTGGCCGGGTTTCCCAGAGCAGCAAGGCGAGAAACCTACTTTGACGTGCGGGTGCTTCGCGCAGGTGGTGCCCCAGACGCGGGCGCAGCGCTCCTCCTTCCTGTGCTCGAAGTACTCGGGGTTCTTCAGGACCGCCACCCTCCGCCCCGCGTAGCTGAGCGCCAGCGCCTCGCAGCCCTCCAGCCGCTCCTTGTCCTCCGTGGAGATCGGCAGCACGATGGGGACGCTCAGGTTGACAACGCCATCTGGCAAGAAGGGGGAGGACTTTAACATATTCCACCCTCAAGACACTGCTCTCGGGCCCCGAGTAGACAGAGGTTTTCAGAGACACACATTCTGCCTCTGGAGAGCCCAGTTATCCAGGACTAGCTCGGGGGTTCACCATCAGTGATGTAACTTTATTCACTGCCCCATTTTTTTTCTGCACTGCTAATAAATAACGATGTCAGTGGAACACAAAAGCTCCTTATCTTTGGACCAGAGATGTCTCAAAGGCACCTGGAGCATTTCATGACTTTCCGGATTCTCTATCTCCCTGGAAAGGTCGGTTCTTTTCCAGTTAGCCTGCTGTAAAGTCTCTTTGAAAAGTCTTAACGTACGTGGAAAATGCAACCCTGGGTATAACCCCTACCTCCTCCGCTGGGAGAACAACCTCTACTAAGACAGCTCCGGCTTGGTGTTCCCTGGGGCATCTCACTCCCTGCCCAGCTCCTGAACGGCCTCTTCCAACGGGGAAAACACCGTCACGCTTTGCTTTGTTTCTTCGGGTTTTTTTTCTGGATATCTCTATACTGTTACTGCTTTTCCTTTATATCTCTGCAGAGTCCAGTTTTAATCTGTTCTCTGTGCGTAGACAGCGAGCCTACGTTTGCCCGTGTAGTTTCTAATTTCAGCGCTGTCTCTAAATACCTTGAAGTCATGTTGGTTTTATCCCCAATTCCACTAAGGTCCTCCCATTCCTCCTTGGATATCCCAGTATTGATATAGAAGAATCAGCCTCTCCCATGGGTTTCCATTCACAAAGAAGAATGCACAAATCACTGATTCAATTTGTTCTGATCTGACTGAAATAATTTTGGACCCTTGAGAGTCTTAATTTGAAGATTTTTGGCTATGATGTAGATTTATTTTTTTTTTTAAATCTTTATTAAAATGTTTGCATTTGCTTTTAATTTACGACTGGGTATCATTAGTCTGCCAGACAGCAATTTTCAAGCATCTTCATGAATAATCATAACTATAGTCACATGGCATCCAATCAACATCAACTCCATACATTTAAACGATATTAACCAGTGATCAGTCAATGAAGTCAGCGTGGAAAAAGCTGGATTATGAAACCAACAAACGGTGCTGAAGCTGAGGATCTCCACGGTCCATTTCCAAACGCAAGACGCAGAGTTTAAAAATAAAAATCACTCTAGTGGAGGTAATTAAAAAATTACAGGACTGGGATTTTTGTGAAGACCGGTTGATAGGACAGTGGGTGCGTCACACCACTTCGTAACCAGCCGAATCATAACCAGGCTGTGTCTGTGTCTAGTTTTAATAATTTTCTGTTTTAAATCTCCAAAAAATTACTTTATAACAAAAAACCCATAAAAATATCTAATTGTAGTAATTTGCATACAACCTAGGAACAGTTATATACATACCAGCTACAGAGCGATTCCTTCCTGGGAGGATACAAACACAATTAAAATAATTAACACTCACAGGCACCAGTTACAGCAGCCACTTTCAAGAACCAAAGGCGCTCATATAAAACCTTCGGCAAAGCGCCGCCTAACCGCAGGCGGGGTGCCTGCCGCCGCCGCCACCACCGCAGTCCTCGGCGGCACTGCCCCAGCCTCTCCGGCGCTCACCCGTCCAACGTGGGTGGCAGCGGCCGGGAGCGGTGCGCAACGCCTACGCTCTTGCTGTCACCCAGCCCCAAGAGAGGCACGCGCCGCTGGTGCAAGAGGGCAGAGCGCCGGAGGCTCTGCAGCACTCCTGCTGCCACGCCACGGGCAGATCCACCTTTCTTCCTGGTGGCCACCCTGCCCCTAGACAAAGCACCTCGTCCACCCAACTGTTGGTGGTATCAAGGTGGGATTTACGGCTCGAAGATTGAGCGAGAGGAGCGCCAACTTGCACAAGCCCACCATAACGGATGGTGGCCCTTCCAGGTATAGCTGGAGCTGCCAAAAACATCTCCTGCACTGCAGAGCAAAAAGGCTGCACCAATGACTCCGGGAAGACCAGCCTCAAACCTCTCTTTGGCAACACGCACTCCAGCCTTGGCACCATGAGATGGAAACCCTCCACCGTTTCCCAAAGCTCATCGAAGCAAACCGGGGGTGTTCTCCTTCTGGCCCAGATGTCACCCTACGGATCTGACCACTGAGATGTTGAGTTTGGAGACCTCCATGGAGACAAGGTGAACCAGGGACTGACATTGATGCCCTCTACTGCAAAGACCTTGCTCTGGAGAGTTCATCCTCCCCAAGAAGCAGGTGTCCTGACCCCAGAGAGCTCTACAAATCCTGACTATATACCTGCAAAGCCAGAGGAGCTGTGCTCAGTGACGCCAACAGGTTTGGGGGAGCACCCCAAAAATAGATGCTCTCTGAGACGAGGCTCCAGCGCAAAGTACGGAGCTTTGGAGCAACATGGCCATTACGGAGTGCCTCTGCGACCTTGTCAGGCACAACAGGCAGCTCAAAGACCACAGGTCGGGGTTTGATAACAAGGACATGTGCTTTTGAACACTGTTTACACACCAGGCGGGAGGTAAAAGGCTACGATGTGTCCGAAAGCAGAAGCCTCCACACAGACATTCCTCCAGTCCAAAGCAAGCAGCCCCGAGCTTTGCAGCGGCTGCGTGGTGCCCAAATCCCAGTAACAGCAGCAAGTCACCACCCCGTGCAACCACGGGATCCTCTAGAAGGAGGGCAAGACTCAAAAGGCACTCGCTCACCAAGATCCCAAACCCCCAAGGCCAGAGATAGCTATGAGGTCTACAAAACCCAAAGTGAGCGCCCTGAGTGCCCCTAAAGTCACAGCGATGGCATCTACAGCTGAGAAACGGGACGTAAATGTCTACTGCCCCCGTCTCAGCTGTAGGTGATCGCTGCCTCAACACTCTCTGCCTTTTCCAGGAGTGAAGCACCTCTAACGTGTTGCTAATGAATAGGCAAATGTGACTCATTTCAAGTTACGGTAATGGATAAGCAGGAAAACAGGGAAGGGGGGGAAAAAGAGAAAACAGGCTCTGCTGCTGTTTCCAAGGAACAGGCTGTCTTCTCCTCCCACCTCAAAGTCAGCCTGGCAGCCTCCCGGCTTACTTGGCTTTGGGTTTGCATCTTTATTTACCCTGGTATAACCGGGCATGAAAAGAGCGACACAATGGCTGCCAAAATGTTTGATCGGCACCGTGCGAGATGTGAAAGCTGTGAGCCAGGGTCCCAGCCGGAGCACGGCAAACTGTGTCACCTTTTGTACCCTTTGGAGCATTTCAGAGCACGGCTTCCTGGCCCCCGCGGTCCTTCACGAGCCCTCGCGTTTAACAGGCGGGAGGAAAGGAGGAGGACAACACGGCCGAGCATTAAGCTTTTCCGTACGGCTGCCTGCCGAGACACCGCGGGGTGAGCATCACGTCCCGCAGCGGCTTGCCAGCCAGCGTTAACGCAAAGCGTGGGGATTCGTACCATTCAGCAGGGTGCCAAAATGGATCACTTGCAAGTACTCCGCCTCGCGCATGAAGCCGGTCAGCGGAGTGGCCCAGCCTTCGCTCAGCACCTGCACCCACTGCAGATCCAGCTGCAAAACAAACCCAAATGGCACTCCTGTCACCAGGTCACGCTCAGAGGTTGCTTTTCCTTCCCTTCTGCTGCAACAGCGCTCTCATTTGTTTTGCTTCAAATATAGGACATTCATAAAGGGGAAGAAAGCCATGGCGGGGTTGGTTTGGGGTTTTTGTTTTTTGGGTTTTTTTTAAGCCAGACACACACACTTTCATCAGCACAACAGCTTGCGGGGCTGCACTAACACAACGGAGGAGACTGACGGCCCTGGCTTGCTACAGCACAGGGTGGAGACACAGCAGAAGATGGCTGAGGATCAGGACCACACTTCAGCTTGCCATAAACCACAGCCACCAAAGGAGACAGCCATCCGAGGAACAGAGGCCCCTCTAGCAACATCCCTGTCAAAGCTTCTACCCTCGAAACAGCTAAATCACGAGCGAACGGCAACACAGCATCCACGCACGACGATACCTTAGTGATCTCTACGGATGGCAGCGTCTCTGCTTCGGCTCGGACGCTCTGGAGTTTATTTTCAGGTACAAACAACTCAAGAACATCCTTGATCGAGCCACGGGGCACAATGTTCTGAAAGAGAGAGACAGACAGCAACTGTAAGTCACACGCTGTTTTTTTTAACGCGCACCAAAAACTCGGTATCTGAAAGCAGGTTTACAAGCTGCTGGTGGCAGCGGCATAAAAATGACCTACTTGTGTTTGGAGGAGCTCCACAACCTGCTGAATACATTCAGACACCGAGGCAACATTCGTTTTCAACACTAGTTCAGGAGATTCGGGTTTCTCATATTCCGAGTCAATCCCCGTGAATCCTATGGACAATTAAACCCAAACCAAATTTACTCAATGTAATGCCCGGTGCCCCGGAGCCAACAAAGCTGTACAAACAACCAGCGAGCATTCAACCGTACTGGGTACTACAACTGACACTCATGACAGCAAAATTAGGGAAACAGGATACTCTCGTGCGCTACAAAGAGCCTTTAGTAACCCACCTCTACGTGCGGAGCTGCAATGACAAACTATCCAACGCTTCGGAAAGCAAAGTAAAAAGAAGAGTTCGCTCTTCCATACCTTTGATCTCTCCAGCTCTTGCCTTTTTGTACAGGCCCTTCACATCTCTGCTTTCACAAATATTTAGAGGGGCATCTACAAAGATTTCAAAGAAAGGAAGTCCAGCTGCCTCATGAATTTTCCGTGCGTTTTGACGATCCTGTTGGAAGAAAGAAGGCAAAATCGTATGTATCCGAATTACAGCATGCGCCTTCCTGCTACATGACGTGCCCTGGAATTCGACACGGGTAAATTCATCTCTGATATAGATTTATTCTAATTCTAATAAGGGTTTTTCATCTCTCTTCCCCCCTTTTCTTAAAAGACACTTTTTAAAAATAAAAAATCTACAACTTTGATCTGGTTTCAGCTTTTTCCACCCGAAACATCAAGAAAATCTCTTTGTTAAGCAGGACAGCAGAACTTCAGAATGTGAAAAATTATCTGCCCCTGTGTCAAAAAAAAAAAAAGGAACTGCTTGCATTGGCTTGATAACGGCAGCTCCTGGGTATTCTCAGGAAGCATAAAAACATAATCAATACTTCTTGTAGTGTCCCTGTCTATGGCAGGGGGGTTGGAACTCGATGATCTTCAAGGTCCATTCCAACCTAAACCATTCTGTGAGTCTGCGATTCTTCAACCAGAGTAGCAATAGCACTGAAAGGCTACCGTTTCTATTCCTCTTTTCTGCCTCCTCACGAGTTAATAGTAGGAGCCTCTGTAAGGAGACCTTAAACTCGTCTTAGCTTTTCATCAATTTGTAATACTAAACATATTCAGAGAGGTCACGTCAAACGGCCCTCCAGAAATCTATACTGACTGCGTGTGGTTCTGCGTATCGGTGGTGAAAAAAAGAATAGAGGAGAAGTTAAAAGGAGTGTCTGATGGCATATATAGGAAGTCCTCTACGTAAATCTCTCTTCCCCAAGAGCAATCATGAGATCAAGGCTGCCCAGAAAAGAGCAGAATATGACGCAGCGAGTTTACCTTTGCGAAAGGAGAAATGAAACTAGTTATGCAGACGAGCCCAGCGTCAGCAAACAGCCTGGCCACCTCTGCGATGCGGCGGATGTTCTCCTCACGGTCCCCAGCAGAGAAACCCAGGTTTTTATTCAAGCCATGCCGAACATTATCACCATCCAGGGAATAGCAAGGGATGCCATGAGAGACCAAGAACTCCTCCAGAGCAAAGCCAATGGTTGTCTTGCCAGCTCCGGAGAGGCCTGTTGGAGACAGAAACATGAGGTTCAGGTTTGAGGTCAAAAGAGTGAAAATGACAGTGTAACGCAATACCTCCTGGGACAATGGCAACAGAACTTCTGTCTGAAGTTCCTTTAAGGAAGGAATAAGGTAGGGAAGCTCGATTCATCTTTTTAGCACACAGTTACCACCACAGAGCCTGGGCCAAGCCTTCTCTTATTGAAGGGGTGGCATTAATGCCGTGAGAAAAGCTGCTGTATCTCAACATCCGGAGGGGTTCAACCCAGTAGAGTGGCGAAAGTACCTCCTGCTGAGCCATGGTGGGACAAACAGGTACCAGCACGTAGGGGAAGCTTGAAAGGATGCTGTTGCCTGTAAGTCCCTTGTCATCTTCCTCTTCCTCCTCCTGTTTCCCCTATGAACAGCCAACTGCTCTCCTACACTGAACCCACAGAGAAGTCCTTGCCACAACTGTGTAGGGTGGGACAGGCTCCACCAGTAATTGCCTCTCCACATCCACGGACACTTCCTTCTGCAGGAGCAGCACCCACAGATCTGTGCAAACAGGAGCAGGATGGTCGTGTAGACAAGCAGCGCATCTTCAGCTGTCCGCATCTCCTGGAGTCATCAGCCAGAAAGACAACAATCCAAAACAAGGTGGTTGCTTCCCATCCCAGTCCCATCCACTTGCACAAAAAGCACTTGCTAGTGGCTGTGTCAGAAAGCAGCAAGTGCAGCTGGAGCACCAAACTCCTCCTTCCCCTTGGGTGGGGATCCATGTCTTGAAAACTCCTTGAGATGGAAGAGGACCTTGACTTAGGAGAGATAATACCTCCAAACACCACACCTGCCTCAGGAAATACTTAGCCTTGGGGAATCTCCTACGGAGATAAGTCTTCCATATAGTCTTTTAACATTAAATTGATAGAAAGTTAGGAAACCACTGTCTATTTCAAAGAATAATCATCAGCCAGAGAAGCTCAGACCTTTCAGACATGGGATCTTTGAGTGATACTTGAAAAAGAAGGAAACTGCCTTGGATAGGTTTTTTGCCTTCAGAAATGACACTAAAGCAGATTAGGCGTTGGCCTTCTTTTCAAAATTAAAGAGGACAACGAAACAGAAATGTGTTTTAATCCAACATCTAGCACACAAACTGATATGAAGGCAAACCAGAATGGCTTTACAAAGCCTTCCAAGTAAGTCTTTCAACATTTTCCAGCAGTCAAAGAAAATACCAATATTTAACAAGCAAAGAAACAACTGGACATGCGGCAAAAGACAGAGTTGTGTAAATATTAGTGGAGCAAAATAAATGCAATTGTCATTTCTAGCAGCCCCTAATCCCCAAGCCATGTGTTTCTCTTTCAAAGCAGAAGAGAAGGGCAACACAGCAGAAGGCCTGCGAAATGAGAAATAACATAAGAAACCCGCGATGGCTGTGCAAGGAATCGCTTCCAGTGCGACTCGCTCTCCGGGAGCGTTTATTCTTCAGACGAGACGACTGCCTTGTTGTGCTGCTCACGAGATCCCTTTAAACACAATAAACTCAGGTGTCCCGATAAACTTCCCACCAACCCAGAATGAAAACATCCGCGTGCTGTTTTGGACAACCCCGGGCACGCTTCCCTGCCAAGGACCGGCTGGATTTGAGCCAAGGCTTCCTCAGCTACGCACTTGGGAACAACAAGTGTGACCCTTAGGGCTTCTGACGTGTTCGAAGGAGCCTGATAACAGCTGTGAAATTCATAAAAACAATTAGTTATGGGGCAGCAGCTGCCAGGGAGAATATCTTGCTGCGCCAGCACTGCGTGTCAGTGTTTCCCACGTGTAAATGTTTCGCAATTCCCCATTCGCAAGGAACGCTGATGTTTCCTGCAGATCCCAAATCCCCAACTCCGAGCCATACGCAAATGGGTTTCGCACACGAAGCCACGCTTTCACGCCCAGACAAAAATACCTGTTAGCCAAACCGTGCAGCCTCGAAATCCACCCCTGGTACCGACGACTTGTCCTCTCTTACTCCTGCTGACATGATGGGCTTGGTAAACCACGTTGGTTGATCCCTGATGAAGACAAAGCAAAACAAAACACTTTTGTTACCTCCTTGCTTGCTGTAGAAAAGAAAATCTCAGCTGGGACTAATATAAGGGAGAGAAACACAAATTCATTAAATTCATTAAAAATCTGCACGAGCCATTGGAGGAAACTTTGACAATTTGGTACAAAGGGGAAAACAGCGCAGAAAACGGCACCTTTGGCATAAGTTGGATTTCTGCCTGAACAGCACAGACTCGTTTGCCTCTGCTCAGAGCCCTTCTTGTGGCAATGCCTTCGTGTCCGCCGCTGCCGGCAGTGGCAGAAGGTGACTTGCTTTACCGCAGGAGCGCTGCCAGGTGACCGATACGCCCGCAGGCAGGCAGGGGAGGACACGGAGTCCGCGCAGAGATGCAGGCAGCACACTCACTACCTCTTCGGCGTCTTAAAACACAGGCAGACTCGCCTATTATTTTAATTGCGCTTGCAAAACAAAAGCAACTTAAGGTGCTAATTTACTTGCCGTGTTTAACATAACGCAGCTTCTAGTAATTGAGGATGGGGCAAGAAACGGCGACGTCGCAGGGCTCTTGAGCTGAGCGAGACAGAGCCCCAGCCGTGGGATGGGAGGCAGGGAAAACAGCACCTAACGCGTACGTGTGCGCTTGGCCGTGCAAGCACGGGACCGGCACGACGCTGAGCCAGAGGCCTGAATGCTGGTGGTTCCCAGTATCGACCCGCTCTCTGCTGGGACGCAGACTAAAACAGCCCGTCTGCGCCCTGCGGCTCCAGCAACGCTACTTCGACAAAGACTTTTTGCACATAGAGTATCTACAAGACCTTATTAATTGCGAGGATTACATTTCCAACTGAGGCAGCCAAAGGAAAAGTCTCCAGAGAGAGAGGAGATATAAATATTTTCTCCCCAGCCGGATTCTTCACCGCTCTAGGTTTATCCGTTTCCTATCATCAGTACAAGAGAGGGTTTGGGCTTTCCCATGATTTACATCTCACTATATAAATATTTCTGCATCTGAAGTCACAGCAGGGAAGTGACCATCTTTCATTTGTCCACGAAAAAAATTCTGACGAGAAAAAAAAAAAAGAAAAAAAGACGACGAATGGGAGAAATGATAAATTAAAAGGTGACTTTTAAATGTGTTAGCAAAATAGCCTGATTTTTTTTTTCCCTCTGCTTGCTGGGCCATTAACACTTTAACGTGCTTCAGCAAAGGCATGATATTTTGTATGCAACAGAGGGCTCTGCCCACACAGAAAACTGGGTGAAAATTATTCCATAACAGCAGAGAAAAAAAAATCCTCCTCTCCTCACCTGTTTTTATTATTATTTTTCAGAGAGACCAGCATCCCAGCAGAGACCAATCTCCCACCGCAGCGATTTATAACTATACTCAGAATTTCATGCCCATTTTCAATTCAAATTTAGTGAAAGGCCGCAAGTGCTTGCGGGCACACTGAACAGCTACCCCGCTCCAGAACACGTTGATGTACTGGTAAGAATACCTGTGTCCAAAATAATCACAATAATGGTCATAAATCTCGCCTCTACGGTTAACTCTCAGCTAGCTTCAATGTCGGTGCCACGACTGTGAGACTGCGCTGAAAGAAGCTCTGGGAGGGAGAAGCAATACCTCCAAGAGTTGGCCCAAGGTGACTGATTCCCACCCTGTGCCACCACCATACGACCTGACGGGAAGTCCTGGGCTAAAAAGGTTTGCAGAGCTGTTGTCCCAACAACCTCCAGTGATGCATCTTCTCCCTCCAGGAGTACCACTTCCCATTTTCGTTGCCGCAGCCACCAGAGCAGGTCCCTGACATCACTTCCCCCCTTCCGTAGTTGTTTCAAATGATAAAATCAATTATTTGGGGGTTGGAGTGTAGGGGACAGCCGAGATGCTGCCTGAAACGCAGAGCCCAGGTACCACAGCAAAACAAAAACAAAAAGCCAAAACCTCTCTAGACCTGACCCTGAAAAAAATGAGTGAGCCGAACACAACCTGATGACTCAGAAAATAAAAGATAAGTAGCTCAAGATTTGGGTTTTGTGTTTTGGTTTTGCTTTGGCTTTTTTGCAGGGGTTGTCAAAAGTCTGTTTGAACATTTTGAGCTTGCCAAGGTGAGACAGCACCACCGTGGTTTAATTTTCACCTGTCCTCAGGGGTTCAGGCTTCAGCAGCGAGACTAAATGAGCACACGCAGAAGAGCCAGCGGCCAAAAATAATCCCTTCTCCCAAGACACACGGGTGTGTTTCTGCTGTGTTTACTCCTGGTTGAGCTCTGGCACTGCTCTGAAATTATGTGTCACCTGGCCAAGGACCCTCAGCAAAGCACGAGTGCCCAAACTCACCTTCCCAACAGCTTGCCACCACCCAGCCCCACAGCGAACCCCCCCCGCTGCTGCAGCGTTAATGCCTGCTCAGTGATCACAAGCTCCTCAAGCATAGCACTCCAAAAACCACAAAGCGGGTATTTTGCTATTTGTTTGCAAACCACAGCAGACAAGACTGATGTTGCTGCGTGGAGAAATAAACCTGCACACTTCGAATCTCTCTTTCACGCCCTCTGCATCAGTAGGGACTCCAGCCGCGCACTTGCTTTGACAGAATGTTGATCTGCTGGATCCGTCCCGCAGGACATGAACTACGATAACATCCACGCCGCGGGAGGACGCAGGGACTAACACATTCCTACATGGCTGATGTAACGAGATTGTTACATTAAAAGTACACGCTGTGCCGTAAATCTGCAGCGTACACGCATCTCAGAGCTTTTATTTCGCATGCTGGCACCTTTCGGAGCCTGGGAAAGAATCACTGGGGGCATTTTTGAAATTCAGCAACAATGTCAGCCCTCCCCTACCTGCCAGGAGCTCCGGAGGGTACCAAATCCCTCTGATTTTTCTGCTACATTAATAATCTCACCAGTAAACCCTTCCTAACCCTGCGCAACTGCCCGCCACACACCGACTCAAATTCTTCTCACCAGCTACGCTGAAAGTAAAACAAAAAGGCGGCGAGAAATGCAAGCACACAGCAGAAGGTTGGGTTGGCAGCTCGCTTGGCCAGGAACGGGCGGTTCAGGCGGGATTTTTTTTCGACTTTCCACCTAATCATCTACCGGCTGGCACACGGTTTGGGAAGCCAGAGCTGAAACACGAACAAACGAAGCGAAGGCAAGACCAAAAGCAAGCATCAACGGCCCGAAAGCAAACCCTGGAGAGATTTCATCTAGAAAAAGCATCTACTGCAAGACCGTTGGGAGGCAGAGATAAGCGGTGGACGGGGTTTAATCAGATGCGGTGCTGTCCTACTGATTTTATTCTCACGGTTTTAAAACCTCGTCATCATAAACCAAACACATTTAAAAGATTATAATCCAACCGTCATCGCAACACACTAACACCTGAATGTTGGGCCTCACGGCGGGGACAATTTAGGGACACTGGCAAGCATTTCTTGCAATAGTCTAGATCAAAGAAGCGAGGTTTGGGAGAGGAACTTCTTACCTATAATTCGGCCCCAAACAAGGCTCCAAGCAAGGCAATAAATGACCCGGCAGCGTTTCCAATGAAGAACCACGCAGTCTCTGCCAGCCAGATGGTTAAGCAGGACATTGCCACGCTCCCTCCTTTCCTTAGAAATCTGCTGTTTGGCCACATCTGCATGATCTCATTCCTCAGCCCACTCTGGCTTACCTCATCCAGGAAATGAGCAAAAATAAAGACATGGCTCCAAACCTTGTGCCGAGGCGGCAAGCAGATCAAGAAGCCAAATCCTAGCTGTGCTTTTGGCCTTCCCTTCTATTGAACCTTTCCATGAGGTTGACAAACTGAGAGACGCCAAGATCTCAGGTGTCTTTAAGATCAGGCTTGGCTGAGCCACCTGCCAAATGTCTCCTGGACCCAGCTTCCAAAAGGAACAAGTTTTTTCCGTTGCCACCCTGGTGGGACAAGACGCTCCCCCGCTTTGTGAAAGCAAGTTGCAGGCAGAGGCAGGAGGCTCTTCCTAAGCGATCCTCCTGAATAAAGAGCTGGGACCTCCGAGACAAGAGAGTCCACCATAGCACAGACCCGTTGGAAATCAGGAACCATCAGCGTCCTCTGCTCTGACAGCTATGGCTGCTCAATTCATGGCATCTGAAAAAGTAACCTCAGCTCTTCCTCCAGTATTTGGCCCTGAAAGGGAGCGGCTGTGCTTGCCCACGTAAATCAAAGGTTGCGTGTGACTGCCCACGGGAGAGGTGTTACCAGGGAGCATCTTCTCTCACCTGAAAGCTAAGTGTACCATATCTGGGGGACCTCTCCCAACCACGGCTCATATTTGTTAGGAGCAGAACCACTGGACAATTAACAGAAAAATGCACTACATCAACAACATTTAGGGTTGTCCCAACAAACTATGCAGATGATCTGCCATCTTCTGCTAATAATTCAAGTACATATAAACTCTGCCCCTTAGGACACAAGGCAGCATCTCCTCCTGCCCCCACATACCCACTTCTTTAGCCGGCACCTACACGGCTGCGTAACGAATGGGACCAGGGCAAGAGCGAAGTGCGAGTGCCACATGCCACAGCCAAGGAGTGGAAACAAAGGAAGAGAGATGGGAACGGAGCAGGACATTCAAGAGATCCCTTAAGCGCATTCAACATCCTCAGGCCAACCCTTGCTCAGCCATCCATGGAAGACAGAGCTCTCCAATGTTGCAGAAGGAAAGACTTGTCGTTAGAAAGTGGTGCTGGTCATCGCGAAGGCAAATAAAGTCTAAACCAATGTCCTTATCATGCCCTTAGTCCCTCTCCGCCGCTGCGGGAGTACCTCTGCCTGCTGTAGCTGGCACAGGCAGGGTGCTGGAAGTGGTCCAAGAGCCACAGCTCGTGGCAGGCTGCAGCAACATCCCGCTCCGGAGAGGGACTCCCTCCTGAAAACACAGCGCGGATCAGCCTAAGAACGATGCCAGCAGAGAACCCTCTTGTAGAGCAGTGCTATTAAGGGCACGTTAGTCACACGTCCTGCTCACTCAGCAGAAAGGTCAGCCTTGTACGAACACGGGTGTAGCATCCAGCTGGTGGCTGGCAGCGCTCACCATCCTGGGGAAACCCTGACCCAACAGCGAGGGTAGGGTTAGGACTCCCCCAGCTGCATTTTTATTTATGGGGCTATCTCACATCATTAGGAATATGATTCATTTTTTTCCAGTCCAGCATTTAATACACTCCCTATTTCGGTACTGCAGCCTGGACATCTCTCCGGGAGAACAGAAAAGAAAAACAAACAAAAAAAATATAGAGGCTTTCAAAATGTTTTCAGCTGATCATATTTGCAAATGGTAAAATAGGCTTTTAAAATCATAAAATGATCAGCAAGCTCTCAAGTTTGAAGTCAAACACTTGCTTAAGCCTCCAGAGATTGATCTAACTTTTTGTTTAAAATCCCCCCCCTCCAAATCCAAATGGAAAAAAAAAAAAAAATCTTTTGTCCTATCCATCGAATTTGATGCATAAAAATTATGTTTACGGGACTTTTCCTTAAAAAAATTATTTCCTTCTGCAAGGGCAATTCAATTCCCACGGCTGCTCTTGTGAATAGGGGAGCTGACATGGAGAAGACAAAGTGTCCATCACCAACAAGTGGGAAAAACCTTCTGTAAATTAGTCATTTGCTGCAGAAAAGCAAAACTATTACACTCAGAAGAAAAGAAGGAAGAGAGGAAAGAGGGGGGTTTTGCTTGCGGAAGCAAAAGTTTGATTATGATCATATCAAAGAACGATGGAGAAACCTGGGAGTCTCTGAAGTCCCGATTTAGCTCTTGTAACACTAAACCTATAGACTTCTTTCAAACTTGAGTTTGATTCATTGAACGGACTAAGGCGGTAAACGCTTCGAAATCAGTTCCACTCTTTCTTTTTTTCACCAAGATGGAGTTACCCTGGAAATTTTGCCCATCTCACCTCCCAGGATCCCACCGGCGCAACATGGAGCCTGGCTCGCTGGTCCAGATGGGCAAGTGGGACTTCTCAAGCACCCCTCTCTCCTGCACATGGGACTCGTCTCCTCTCCCACCACTCGTACATGAGCAGAAATAACATCGTGTTTTCTGTTTCAGACTTAGCTGAGTAATACAGGCATGTGTCACCAAACACCCCGCCGAGGTTGCAGAGCTGGGGTTGCCAGCGTTCCCTCGCACCAGGCAGGATGCTGAACTGGGCTCCCTTTCTTCGTTCAGCGCTCTGAATAAACCGCAGCAGACCTCGCTTGCTGCTCGGCCCCCTCCGCTTTGGACGCTTGTTACTTTTGGCATCGCTACCTCGGCCCCTGTCCCCTGCCAGGAATGTAACACAGAAGATCCTAAGGAGACCAGCAGAGACACCCCAGTTACCTGAAACAAGCCGTCTTTCAGCTTGGAGACAGACAGTTGGAGATGCCAAACATCGCTAACACACAAGGTTTTCAAGGTGGTGTTAGCTAAAGTGTTTTTTCTCAACCCGCAGGAATTTTTGAGCTCTTAGCAAGACCTTATTTTTGACCACAGCTAAAATATTTTTCTCTTGGTATAAATTTGCATGTTTTGGGTTGCCACAGTCAAGTTTTATACAACCCTGGCAAAAAACAAAAAAACCCAAAAGCAGGCTCACTTTCCAGTCCCCTTGCAAATCAGATGCTAATTTCTAGACTGCGTGACTTCAAACCAGCAGGTCGGGCGTTAAAATCTGCCCCTCTGAAGGCACCCGGATCAGGCATTTCTTTATCTCTGAATTAGATGATGTCACTACTTTAATTTCCACCACACAGAAAAACTAGCGAGTCATCCTGCACTCCTACATTTTCAGGACGAAATTGCAAGGCCGGGGACAGATGTTATAAAAAAAAAAACCAAACCAAAACCCACAACCTTCCCATCTTCATTCCAGAAATCACAAGGGAAAGCTGCATGGGCAACAAAAATTTGACAAAGCATCTTGTCAGTCGCTGACAAAAATAACAATTTAAACAAGAAATCCTTCCAGGCTTGCCCTATTTTATATATTCAGAGCAGTTCTGCTAATTTACCTCCCCTAAACGAACCCGTTTCAGCAGTTCAGCTCATGCTCATTTTGCAAACAATAGGTTTGACAGGGCAAAAGGAGAACTGCTTTGCTTTGATGCTGGGGGTCCGTTACAAGGCTGCTCTGGATCACGTCAAGAAGCGGGACCACCACCAATGTAAAAACCAGTCATCCTGCAAAACAAGGGAACATAAGTGATGTTCTCACCGCAGTACGGATCAGTTTAGGGATCACACACCCATAGAAAGCGATCAAGCACGTCTATTTAACCTCCGAGAAAACAAAAAAAGAAGGGAAAAACGCAACCAGAAGGTAGGTGACTAGTTAAAAACCACAGAGATGGTGTAGTACGGTGACCTCCGCCGGCAAATCCAGTGCCTGGTGGTGCACAGAGCCATGACCGACAGCCAGCTGAGCTGAACTGCGCAGAGCAACAGCATCTGGCGTGAGAAATGTTGCACTGAAACAGCACACCACCACTCTCCTACCAGGAAAAACCACCCAGTACACACGGCCACACTTCTGTATCTTCTTTTGGAGAAAAATACCAGACTATGGGAATGGTGAGCCAAGGGTCAGTCCCTCAGATTTCAGGGACAAGAGGAAAGGAGAACAAGGGTACATATTTTGATTACACATTAACTTCAGTATCAAAAAGAATTCCAGGGAGGAGTTGTATTTACGCATAATCTTTTTTTTTTTTTCCCCCTTGAATGGGAGATTTAGGAATTTAATTGATGGGTTGTGGCGCTCTACGGTAAATAAGCCACTGTACATGTCCCGTCTCTTACCGTGGCAAGGCAGGAGCCCTATCCCTTAAAACAAGCAAAACAGACAAGCCAGGACTCCTGCACCACATACCGTGCAAAGAACAACTCGCAGTACCGTGTCAGGAGACTGTCAGCTGAGCTAAATTTTGTTCAGTTGTAAGAGACAATCAAAACCACAAGCTCTGCTGTTCAGAGATGCCACGTGGCACAAGCTTACCCAGAGGGTGCTCCAGCGAATGCCAGGAGAGCGATAGCCCGCTTCGTCAAAATCATTCCCTTTGAGAGCTGCAGAAATTAGTCCAACACACTGTCGTTAACTTACCTTTAAAAGCTGAACTGGCCTGGTGGCACTGCTCTACCACAAAACACAGCAAGTTGTATTCAGCAGTTTTGTGTCCTTCAGTTTGCAATAGGTTTTCAAATTCGGAGGCCAACATCTAACCACAGCTACAAGCAGGCTGGTGGGACACCAGCTCCATCTTCTGCTAAGGAAGAAAGCAGAATCTTCCACCCTCCAAGCTAGCACAGGTTGAACCGAGCACATCTAAGCTCTAAACAATATGGGGACAAGATACCTGTTTTTATCGTGCCCATCATAACCCTCTCAGGAAAGAAAACCTGTACCTTTAGTGAAGCTCTAGTGGCTTCATAAGCAGTGGGAGTTACAGAGGATCTGCATTTCAAGCAGCTTGATCAGGTTTTAAAATATATACTTCTGTAGAAGTACTAATCCTCTTGCATTTCTTCTCCTCTACAGGACACCGTGGCAGCCTACTGAAAGAATAAAGCTGGACGCAAGCCCAGGCTGGTGGGGGCTCGGCGTCGCAGCCACGTGGTGCTTCTCCCTGCCTCATTCAGTATCCAAGATGGACGCGCAGTCTTGAATTTGGCATCTAGAACCCCACGCGCTTGACTTTGCAACGGTCAACAGTCACCAGTAGGCGACAAGCAACCTCTCTCCACCTCAGCCATTTTTTCGAAGTTTGCAAAGTGCAAAAGCAGCAGCAGGGGAACCTCGGCCAGAACCACCACACAGGACACGGTTAAATGGGGGAACTCCACTGGGCAGGCCAAAAGTTCACTCAGCCGGAAAAAAAACATTAAGATGAATTCATGGAAGGAATGTTCATCAAGGACTATCGGGGAAAAAAGGCATGACCTCTGGTATCTCATGTTGTAAATCAATGGACGCTGGGACAACACACTGTGGCGTCCCAGCCACACACCCTTCCCCTGGCCCCCGCTCTTGGCTGCGGCTGGAAACTACAGACAGGGCCAAATAGACCTTCCCCTCACTCAGTATCTCCTCAGTCCCCTCGGTATTTCTGTTGGCTGAGGGTGGGCTTATTTTCACCATAATGCCATCGAACGCGCCACCCTACACAACAAGCTGCAGGAACCAAGTCCAAGTTGAGGACTCAAGTTTGGAGACACCAGGATGAAGGTTTCCTGCCCCATCTACCTGCGCATCTGACCCATCCAAGCTGCAAGACAGGCTTCTAACTGCGTGAGCACACGCGGGGTTACCTAGACCCTTGCCTAAGTCAGCACCAACAACGCTGTAGTCTTCTTGAACGAGTGGCTATTCAGCATTTCCCTCACCCCTCCCTAAACCAGGTGTAGGCACGGGTTTTAGGCATCACGCGCTTCTCAAAGGCTGGCTGAAGGAGAGTTACACATTTTCCTCGGGGATTATTCTTACTTGGTCCCTCAAAAGTTCACGCGAACTCCCAGTACCTCTCTGAGGGTGGCACCATCTCCAATTTTACAGCCATAGAAGAGCAGCGGAGAGTGAGGCAAACAGCATACGAAGACTTGAGCTCCTGCAATATTTAAGCCCTATAAAAATGACGCGTATTTGAAGAGCAGCTCCCCTGGACTCCAGGCTGCGCCTCCAAGATCTCGACGCTTCTCACATCCATCCCCACGCTCTCAGACCAGCTTTGCAAAGACCAGCTTTGCAACCCCAGCGATGGTTGAGGTGACGTGTCCAGCATCATGCCCAGGGTCCCTGGCAGAGGCAAGCACGCAACTCAGCCCCCCAGCAGCAGCAGTCCCGTCCTCTAAAATGAGGGTTCTTTTTCCCTCTTCCCACACCCGCTGGCAATACAAACAAATGATCTTCCCATCAGAAGGGCTGGGCAGGCCTGAAAAACGACCTCCCGCCCAACACGCTTTTTTTGCACCACAATGGAAAGCCGAAAAATGGTTTGGTATCAAAGAAAACATTCTGTTCTGCCAGATCGGCCACAAAGACCTCAAGGTCAGAAAGCCTTCAAAATGCAGGTTCGAATGGTTGTTTTCCAAAGATGCATAAAAAAAGCTCATCTCAACAAACCCGAAGGGCTACATTTAAAGAGAAGCCACGTTCAAATAAAATAAAATAAAGTAAAATTTATTGAAAACCGGCTCCTTTCTCAAGCCCTGCTCTCCAAACAGGCCAAGACATTTTGGCACACACTCAGCAGATAAAATTTTCAACACACACATAGTTGTAACTGAGCCAAACTGTAAGTAAGCAAAAAAGGGACCGCTCTGCGAGGGATGGGAGGCAGCACTAGCAATGAGCTACCAGCCCTACAGGCAAAATCCTAACTTCTCAGCATCCCATTTCGTGACGCACATCCACGCCGAACGCCTTGACCCGGCTTTTATGCATCCCTCCTTTTGTTAATGATACACTCTAAGTAAATTTTCACTTAGAAATTATTAAGCTGTGAGACCATTAAGGAACTATTTCTCACTTCCCACAGCTCTGATTCAGAGCTCCATCAGAGATAATCATTAGTCACCTCGCTCGCGATTATAGTAAATTAATAAACAGTAACCTGAATTACATGGCGTTTCTCTTAATGGACTTTTGAGATACCAAAGTGTACGAGCACCGTGACCAAAGTACAAGGTCAAGGCAAGGCATATCATTAGGAGCATTAATACAGCCCCTGCGTGCCACTTATCTTTTGTGGGTGCGTACAGCTGCAAGTTTATCTAAAACACCTGGTTTCAGATAGGCGAGGTCTTTTCCTTTTTAAAGGCTATTTAAAGACACCCTCCAGGATCAACATCAAAAAAAAAAAAAAAAGAAATGCAAGTATGCCAGTACTTCTCTTGAAAACCCTCCAGAAAAAAATAAAATCCCCATGGCCTAAATCTAAGCTGCAGCTGCGATGCACATGTCTAGGTGGCACGGGGTCTTCAAAAATCATTTGCTGTCTTGCCTAAAACCACGTGTAGGGGCTGCCCACGGAGAGCACGGATGGAAACCTATGCCTGAGTTACAGGTTTTGGCAGAGATTTGTAACTGGTCGTGACTTAATTGGTGCAACCTGACAACCAGCCGAGGCTGGAGCCTGTATTTATCCAGGAGTCCAGCAGCAGGACAGAAAACAACATGCTGACTCGAAGCGCTTGGACTTGGAGCTGGAGAAATAAGTCAGGTTTAGGTGCCCCGGCCACCACCCCAGACAGCACCCACCACGCCGACCGCCGCTGCCGCCAGCAGTGCTCAGCTGCACTCCTTCAAACGAGGCCCCTGGGAGATGAACAGAAACCCAGGAGAGCCACTAGTCCTGTTGGGAAAGCAAAAGGTTAACCCCTGAGCACACCCGCAGGGATCAGGCCTGACCTACTTGCCTCTCCCCTTGGAGGGAAGGGGTGTTCAGGCAGGAACCACCTGTCCCAGCAGAAAAACGCTTCCACTTTTCCACTTGGCGTGTGCTTCTACAGCCCCGGGAGATGCGCGCAGCCTGCTGGAAAACATACCCTGCTGCTCCTGCTGCCACAGTGCTTTCAGGGGACATCAGACAAGCCTTCCCGCCATTGGGGAAGGTCCACCAAGGTCCCCAGCTTGCAGCTTCCAAGGCTGGACCGCACCAAGCTGAATATTTCATTCCCCATCCTCTGGTGGGCTCAGCCTCCCAGAACCATGAAAGAGGCATCTGTATTTAGGAGCCTGCAACTTTTCCTGGCTTTTGTTCCCCGAAATTCCCCAAACTGAACATCCCTGCTCTTACAGAGCACAGTTATGGTTAATAAACACGAGTTTGGCACGCTGGCAGCACCACAAAACAGCACAAGTTAATGAAATAGCAAGGTGGGGGCAACAGACCGGAAAGGTAACTTTAATAGCAAAGGACTTCAAACGAAATAGGGAGAGAAGGGGAGAGAGCTGTAGGAAACAAGAGAAGTCAAAATAACAGCGTATCGAGATGAGATAGTTAATCTGCTGACCTGTCTGTGATCTTCGAAGAGACATAAAGCAAAATAAGCGATAGAAAATAAAACAGGAAATAGTATGCACACGATGAGCAACTAGAAAACAATCACCTTTTAATGTCACAGTGCAATGAGTCCTAACTCAATGTGAAACTGTGCTTCACAAAATAAATCACGGCTGTAAACCCAAGACTTTTGAATCACTGGATAAAGCTTCAGAAACACTGTCTTGCATAATTCAACCCAGACCAAGCCATGCCCATTCTCCGAAATCAGGACTCTGCTGCCTGCTGCACTGTCACCTCTGCAAGTCCCACTGTGCTGAGCTACCCAGAACTGCTTTGAACATAAACATCCTTAAAGAGGTTTTGGTCCTTACGTTGAAGGCAGTAGCACAGAATAAGCATGCAAGGAGATGAATGCAGAGTTTGTTGTTTGGTTGGGTTTTTTTAAGTAAACTTTTTATTTTACTTGGCTTTGCAATTAAACTGATGAAGCTGGACATACGTTACTGCACAGCCTGTGACACCACTCCGTCCATCTGAACGCTGCTCTGTGGCTGCAGTTTTTTCAACGTGAGAATATGTTTTAGGCAAAGAAACTAAGCCTCCTCATACTTCCTCAGGGTTGTCATCTGATCTTGTGGTTTTTTTCCCTTCTTCTCTTTAAATAAGTTTTAAAAAGCCCCCTCTAAGTTATTTTTACACATTCATTTATCTTTGAATAAGACCACATCATTTGCAGCCGGGCACCTAAGCCCTACACGGGCAAAACTGACCTATCAGAAGTTACAGCTTTGTGATCCACTGGGCTACAGAAACAGCATCCCAGTAAAAGCGAGGGATGCTACGTGCCACGCCATTCAGCTTCCCAGAGACGCAGTTACAGATGACAAAGCTGTACAGATGACCAGACAGATGACAAAGCTGTAACACTTACCCCAAAAAAGGTGGTTTCAGTATTGGGCTTTCATTCTCCCCTAAGCACCTGTAAAGACATCCAAACAGAAACTCACTGAAAGCAGCCAGCAAGGAGGATGTCCACGTGCTGCCACAGGCAGGACTCTGGCGGCCGGCTCTGAACACCTCGATCTCACTGAGCTGCGTTTTCCACACACCCGTGGGGACGTGTGAGCCACGCAAGCCAGTCACCCCGGCGAGGGGCCAGCCCTTCCAGGTCAGGGCCGTGCCCGTGTGTTTGGGCTCGGTGGCAAGCGGTTTCCCCAGAGCACACTGCACCATCTGTATCCTCGTGCTCGTTAGGAAAATGCCGCTCGGCAGGGAGAGGTAACGAGCTGCGGAAATACCAGCGACGCCGCAGGTGTAGGGAGAACAAGCTGCTATTTCGACGGGGCTGAAAGAACCGCTCAGCCCTGAATGCTGCGCTGTGCAAGAGCCCACACAATAAACAAGGGCAGTCCCACAGCACCACGCTACTCACTGCAATTACTTTATACGGCGTACTTACTCCTGAGAGCAGGATTTCGCCACTGGGGCACACAGAAGGCCTGTGTAAGGAACATTAGGTCTTTAAGGTCATCATTAAGGGCCGTTCTTCTCCCCCAAAAGTTGGTCCTGAACTGGTCAGAAACAAATACGCCCTGTCAATGAGGTCTGTGACTGGAAGGATGTTGCCCGGCACGTAGAGAACTTCATGCCTCTTGCAATGCCATGAGCACAAACGAAGAGAGCATTCCCATACTAACCAGCCCAAGAGAGATTCTTACATACCGAGTCTTGGGTCTTCAGCAGCATTAAGGTGACTTGTTAGTTTATAAGGACAACATGTGCAGAAATGAAAAAAAATTAAGCTTTCCTCTTCGTACCTTACCATAAGGCTCTATCGATAAATGGGTACGCAATTAAAACATCCTCAAACTAACCTCAAACTCCAGAGAGCGATCGGGCCGAATTTAGGTTTTAAATCCTGGGTTTATAATTATTCCATTTCCAAAATGAGGAGCACGGGCAAATAACACAGCCAGTCCGCCTCGCAACAGCTAGCACTACTGTTACAGCCTTTCAAAAGCTGACAGCTAAGCAACATCACCTGCGAAACCCATTTTGACGTAGTCTCGGCCAGCGAATAACACTGGAAACATCCAGCCTCACAAAACCTTGTCTGTGGGAGAAAGATTAACACATTGCTCACACAATGAAGAAGTCGTAAAAACTGAGATTTTATTAGTAATAAGGATTTTTATGAGTAACAAAGATTCACGTTACTGGGAGAATGAAAAACTGGGATTAAGTAAGGGGCAACAGAAGGATGAGCTGCTGTACTAATCGGGAGCTCAGCAGGGCAGATTATTCTGTGCATCCCGTCTTCATTTTCCGGGGGACTCATCTTGGTTGTTGCAGCTACAAAAGGCGTCGTGGAAAACTCACCACCACCTTAAAACTCCTCTGAACTACAACGTTTAGGCTGCTGCTTGCGGGAGCACGTTGTGCTGTTGTCTGCTGCTTCCTTAGGCAAAATCTCTGATGCACTGTTGACGCCTCAACCCTCCTGAGCCATACCGTGTAATCGCACTGAGACTGACCCCAATTGTCCGTGTACGTATGCAAGTAATTGTGCTAATCAAAGTGAAATGTCTTATCCCGTGCCTTTGATATCAACTTGAGATGGTTGAAACCTGTGGGCCACTGAGACTGCGTTAGGAGCGTAGAACTTCACTCACGCTCCATGCAACACATCTCCCTGGCGATAGACCGGGAGGATCACTAATGGGATATCATCGCTGTTTCATCATAATTACCCAAACCGCTTGTAATTAGTGAAATCATGCCTTTTCTCATTCTATCACATACCTGGCAGATAAGCACATGAAAATACGCCTACAACTGTCAACCAGATAGCATCTGTTTTGACAGTCACAGTACGAAGGTCAGCCACAATCTTGCTTATAAAGGTCATTTTTCCAGCCCAGGGTGGAGGCAAAGGAGAAGGATTATTCTGGAAGTTTGGTAATGACTCTCTCCCGTCGCAGCAACAAACAAAACTCCCATACACAGCTCATGTCTTGCACCTCCCCTCCCCGAAATAATCCCTAAACCACAGGTTTTCGCGTTTCCAAGAACACCCTGCCGCACAGGCGCGCTTTGTTACGCGTGGTTTTGCTTGCATTCCTATCCTCACAGATTACCAGTGTGTTCAAAATGCATTGAATCCATCTGAAAAACGTACGACGAGGTGAAAAGAAACTAAAACTAAAAAAGAAAACAACAAACCAAGATCAACCAGCAAAAGCAGCCTGAGAGACTGACACGTCAAGATTTCTTCTGGTTCCGATTTAAAACCTGGAAAACGTGCATGTAGCCAGAGGGAGCCAGACCTCGCATCCCCAATCCGAGAAGCAAGGCAGGAGAGCTGGCAAGCAGAAAACTCTTTCTTGCCGTGACTGCGATTGGTAATTTTAATTTCTAACTGAATTATGCTATTATTTTTCTTGGCTGTGTAGGGTTTTCTTTATTTCGGGCTCTGCAGCAGTGCCGAAAGCCCACACCGGGTGGTGGCGGGCGTGTCTCCACCAGCTTCTCCCCCGGCCTCCGAGAAGCAAGGCAGGAGAGCTGGCAAGCAGAAAACTCTTTCTTGCCGTGACTGCGATTGGTAATTTTAATTTCTAACTGAATTATGCTATTATTTTTCTTGGCTGTGTAGGGTTTTCTTTATTTCGGGCTCTGCAGCAGTGCCGAAAGCCCACACCGGGTGGTGGCGGGCGTGTCTCCACCAGCTTCTCCCCCGGCCGGGGGGGACCCAAAAAGCCGTGAGGGGAGGCAGTGGCTCAGCCTTCTTCTCGCTGACTCAACCTTTGGCCTCTCCTGGGAGGCCGCCGCTCTCGGCGGGGGGGGGCGGGCTTGGGCCCGGGGGGGTTGTCCCCGG